GTTGGGTTTTTGTCACTTGTGACCCAGAGTTTTGGCAAGCACACCCTGTTGTTGGACATTAGGGTTGCTTACAGTTTTTTACCATTATAGATAATGCTACAATGAACATCTTACACGTAGAGCTTCTCCTTGATTAGAATTATTTCATTGAGATATTTTTGCAGAAGTGAGTTACTTGGCAAAAGGGTCGAACATTGTCAGGACTCTATAGATACCTTGCAATTTGTTTGCTTAAGGCTGGCAACAATTTGGATCTCTCACCTCCATCCCTCAACAGTATATGCAAGTGTGATTTTAAAAAACTCAGTTCTGAAGACTTTTTTTTTAACAAGCCGAAGTTGTATTTGTTTTTTGTTTTTAAACAGGAAAATTTATGTTAATATAAAACAGATAAAAACAGACAAAATCGGAACACACAACACACAAAAGCACAACACACGAGACTAGTGCAAACCCTTCCCAACCCACTCCCCAGTTTTAAAACCTTTATTACAGATCCCCAAAGATTAGACTGTATTGGAGAAGTCACAGTATTGAATCAGAAAAATAATAAGAAGAGGCATGTTTAAAAAGGTCTGTACACAGGTGAGGGGTGAGGGATGTACACTTTGTCACTCCGACATCGAAAACATAACGCCAAAAGGATTTCAGTGATAACCACGGATTTCTAGAACCCCGCCATATATGCCAGTCCCCCGTCCACTTTTGAAAGTTGCTTTTAAAGAGGATAAAAAGTGCACAGACACTTTCGTAAGGCACAGACAGATTGTTGTACGAGTCATTTCATTAGGGACTTGGGTGAGACAGTGAGACAATTAAATACCGAGAAGTGCCAGGAGGCCACGTGTTCCTGAGCCGGGGTCCCCCTGCCAGAACTGGGACAGGGACGGGGTTGAGCGGCGGGAGGTTATTGCCTCTCATTTGCCAAGACTTTGCACAACCCCGTTCCCAACGGGGACTGACCCACTCAGGGCCTTGGGGACTGACTTCCAGGTCCAGAAAGTAGTAGGCAGCCATCTCCCCAGTCTCCCTGGCAGACCTGAGGGTGGCCGACCTGAGGGTGGCCGACCTGTGGGGCCTTTGGGGGTCCTGCCTAAGGCCGTTCTGGCAGCAGCTCACTGACTGCAAGATACCCCACAAGTCTGATGCGGAAGAGGGTTTTCAAATCACACGGGAGGTTCTGGGCCAGGAAAGCAGTTGCTGGGCGCTCACCCACATGGACCCAAGGCAACAGAATGGCCAACAAAGCCCAGTGGATTTGGTCCCCAAAGCCTCACTGCCCTCTTAATGTCGTCACCTCCTGCATCAGAGCTGGGCACAGCCCTCTCTGCTCCATCCTCCCAGCACCCCGCACCTAGTAAGCACTCAGCAAACGTTTGTTGAATGACTGTGAGTGCATGTGTATGTGGTGCTGTATCACCAAACCCCTGAACGTTCATAATCTGGTTTCCGGTTTATTCAGCAAACCTTTACTAAGTACCTACTATGTGTTAGCACAGGACCCAACGCCAGAGGGATCCAATAAAGTTCACCAATCTGTCCTCCTCCTCTGGAGCTGAGCCCTGGCAGCCTTTGGCTTTAGTCCCAGTCCTCGACCCCGAGACCCCTCAGCCTGTGCTGAGCAGCGGGCGCCACCTGACTGAAGAGGTGCTGAGTGGCCAAACCCCAGGAGACCCCTGTTCCAAGGACACACTAGAAAAAGGAGCTTGTTTTGCCTTGGAAACAGCCAGTTTTGCAGGAGGCTCCTAATGAACAGGCACAAGACCACGACAACAGGTGTCTTCTGGCCTCTCCTGTCCTGGCCCTGGAGCCATGGCTGCTGCAGCCCAGAAGGGCACGCCCTGGGCAGCGAGGCTGGAACATAGGAGGGCTGGGTACACCGGGGATGGATGCTCAGTGGGCCGGGGGCTCTGTGTGCAGGGATGGCGGTCACAGGGCCCAGGCAGGTGGTGGGATGAGGCCCTGAGGCCTGCCCCAAAGTTGTCCCACACGGCGCCCCCGTAATCAAGGCCCTTGGGTCGGAGCCAAGATCGCACGTAGCTTGGCTCTGCCAGAAGGTGGGCAGCGAGCAGATGCGCCTGAAAGGAAGGACACTGTCCTTCCAGGGCGTGGGCAGTGGAGGGGCTCGGCCTGAGGCTGGAACCTTCCACCCAGGGGAGGCGCCCAGGCTCTCTCCAGATGAGCGTCAAGGAAGAAAAACTCCATCTTGAGCGTTCTGGGGCCCAGGGCCAGGCAGTGGAGAGCAGAGGAGCTGGCACCAGACACTCCTGGGTGTGAATCGCAGCTCTGCCACCTCCTGTCATGTGATCATTAAGTCACTTCACCTACAGGACCTCAGTTCCCTTACCTGCCGAATGGGATGACACCATTTTTCATCCATTCCAAGTACCACAGTTTTTTCACACTTTATCTCTGATCAGAATGAACGGTACAGTTGTGGCATCTTACAGTTACGACTGGCAGTTTTTCCCCTAGTGGTACATAAAATGGTGCACTTTGTGAGCAGCAGTGTCTTAGATGTGACTCATTATGGCAAAAAGACCTGCCTCACAGGATTAAGGCACCTCTCTAGCCCAGTGCCAAGGCACACAGCAGGTGCAAAATAAAAAAGTGGTTCCTTTTCCTTTTTCTCTTGCCCCCTTCTCAAAACAGAACATAGATGGGGATTTGAGCATCTCCTCTGTAGCACTGAATAAATCAGTTTAGAGCATCAGGAAATGTCTGGTTTTTAGAAGATAAACACCCCCTTAAGTCCTCTTGGAAACAGGGAGGCTATTTATAGCAGCTGCAGAGCAGGTGGAACAGGCCACTGGCTCCTTTGTTCCTGGGTAACAGGTCACTAGGAGCAGGCCTGGTCCACCCCTGTGCCCAGGCCCTCAGTCACTGGTTTCCTGGTGGTGGCTGTACATGACTCTGGCTGGAGCCCAAGGGGGCAGCCAGGAAGAGCAAGTGACAGGAGAGAGAAGCTGGCTCCCCCAGGCCACTGAGGCCACCAGAGCTGCAACTCAGTCCAGTCATGGGGACAGTCGCCTGGAGAACCACAGGCTGGGGTGACGAGCCCCCGGCCACAGGGCCTGTGCATGCTCCACACACACCCAGCACATGGCGGTGACCAAACAGCTGGGCACCCAGAGCTGCCCAGATTCTCAAACTCTGGCCCCGGCAAACACTGGGGTTCCAGTAGCTCCTCAAAAGATTCTGCTGCAAAAGTACAATGTGGGCACGTTCCCTAAATTCACTAGGGGAAAGTAACCATTCAGGGGCTCTTGCCATCGCAAGGCTGCAGGGGTCTGAAGTTGGGGTCGGGTCAGAAAACCATGACCGTTCTCAGCTGGAGGAGGAGGGGTGGCCCAAGACCTCCAGCATCACAGGGCACCGACCGGTCTGCGCAGCCTGATTTGATGAGGGCCTGGACCCGCTTGGCTCTGGACCCTCAGACACCCAGGGAGAGCTTGGTACATGAATGTGTAAGTTCTCTGAACGTTTTCCTCTCCTTCCCTCCCTCAGCAGATGAGCAGACTAGGAACTGTAATAAAAATGATGCTTTTTCTTTGCAAGGTGTCTCAGGCTTTTTAGAATGTCGTGGTGATCCTTCTAAGAGCTCCTGGAGTGGTCAGGTTCTAAATTTCCCATAGGAAACTGAAACACAGACAGGCCAAGGGACTTTCCTAAAGGTACGACACAGAACAGGGCAGAGGTGGAGCCCAGAACTGGGGACAAGAAGGCAGGAGCAGGCCTAGGCCAGCCCGTCAGCCCAGGCGTGGTCTGGGAGTCTGCAGAGAAGGGCAGGGATGATGGGGTGGTAGGGCCAAGGTTTCAGGAAATACCACCAAGTAGGCCTGGGAGGGGAGAATCACAATGCCGGCGTTTTCAGTTGCTGTGTGTTAGTTAACAGACTTATCAGTTAAGGTGTCAGGAACCAGCAGAGGAGGATGAACTGAGAATCAGAACAAGGACCAGTTATGAAGCCCTGGTTCCTCCCACACCTGCCAGGAGGTCACCCTGGGAGTGCCCACAACACCTGGTCAGTGCCAGGCCCAGGGTTACAATGGGAAACGTGGACAGCTGTCTGTGCTGAGAAGTGGCGTTTCCAAGTCCGGGTGAGTCACCTGCCTCTAGGATTCTTTCCCTCCCCCAGGAAAACAGAAGCTGCTGCTCCTCTTCTTGGAGGGGGTTACCAAGACAAAGCCTCCAGAGACGGAGTGAAGGTGCGATGTGCTTATTATTAGACCGTCTGGGGGAAGGGGTGAAAGATGACACGGGCCAGAGCGCTCGGCTGCAGCTCGCGTCCAAGACTGCGTAAGAAATGAAAAAAGTGAATTGTTCTCTTAGGTTCCCCACCCGCCTTCCCCTCAAGGAGTTGGTGCTTTGGAGCTGTAAACAATGAGTTATTTTTGCCTCCCCTTAGGAAATCTGAGCATCTCTTTCCTATACCATCCACGGGAGCTCTGTTTAGGTTCCGGCTTCATACATTCAAAACGAGCTTCCATCACAACCCCGGAAAGTGAACGATTCTAGTCACGCTAACATCTGGGCTCCGGACCGCACACTCGGCAGCGTTCGGTGAGCTCCCAGAGCCAGGATACCTGGACACAATCCCCACGCGTCCTCCCTCATTCTCTCACACGTTCTCTCCCTAGTCTCTGGCCCCCTCCCGCCCCTCCCCTTCTCTCTCACACTCAGCCCCACCCCAGAAAGAAGCATTGCACGGACAGAAGATGCTGTTTCCCAGCGGAAAGGTCACCAAGGGAAAGGGTGATCTGCCAGGCAGTTCCTGAGCTTGCTCTTGGGACGGCCTTGTGGGGGCAGCACTGTTGAGCCAGAAGCAAACCTTGCTGGGCTCAGACCCCCGGGGCCTGTTCTGCCCGACTGTCACGCCTTGCCCACCGTTGGAGAGACGGCTGCTGCCCCTAGACTCCCTGGAAGCCATGGTGGTTGCCCGGCCCAGGGGGGCTTCAGAAAGGTGACCTTGCTCCAGCCAAGGCCCGTGGGAGGCCAGGCTATGGCCTGTAGATCTTAATGACGTCCTTGATGGGCCGCCGGCAGATGGGGCAGCAGGCCCGGGCCTGCCGCTTGAGCCGCAGGCCGCAGCTGTGACACAGGCACATGTGTCCACATGTGTAGATGACCGTGTCCACCTCACCATCGAAGCACACCGTGCACTCGCTGTTCTTGCTGCCTGCCGGTTCCGGTGGGGAGAACACGGGGGATACCGGGGGGCTCAGCGGGGAGCTGGGCGCCGTCACTGCCGAAAGGGAGAACAGGACATGTGTTAATAATGTATCTCCCAGGTGGGCTCTGCTGGGGCAACCCCAAGAGTGCAGAGCTTCTTGGGGGAACCGATCGGGGAACAATTGGGGGAGATAGGGATTTTGGTTTACCTTCCAGGTTTTGCACCTTTCTCTACCCTTCTACTGCCCCCCAAGCGCCAAGATAAAATGCCCCCATCATCACCCTTTGGGATGCCCTATCTAGACGTTTCTCCTCACCCCAGCTGAACATACCGCTGAGGGAAGGAGGGGATGCAGGGGGAGGGCCCATTCCCTGCTCCTACTCCTACCAGGGTTTACATTTCCTTACCCAGGGATGACTCAGACGCCGAGGAGGACTGGTTGACACTGAAGGTCATATCTGAATCACTGTCGTCTTGAGAGCCACTGAGGGACCCTGATGGAGTTGTTGTCGCGGGACTGGACTGCAGGGTACCTGAGACCCAAAGAGACTCCATCAGAGACAGTGGGAGGTAGGACCTGCCCTGCCAGTCCCTGGCTCTTCACCACTTCACACCTGAGCTTCTCCGTCTGTCTAATGAGAGGACCAGAGCCACCGCCCAGGGTTCTGCTAAGGACTGATGAGCACGTACAAGCACGGTGGACATCTATCCTCTGCCCGCCCAGCCTCCACTGCCGTTTCTTTCAGGAATAGCACTGGGATATTCTTTTGGGGCACTGCTGCACCCTCCCCAACACAATGCAGGTCTGGCCAGTAAGAACTTCCACTCCTTGGTCTCAGCAGTGGTTCAGGGAAGGGACTGTAACCCAAGTAAGGCCACTGAGGCCCGATTCTGTGGCTTCCACCAGAACTGTTGGGAAAGAAGGGGCTCATTCCACTGGGAGGTAAGCCTGGAGCTGGAGGGCCACCCTGTGGCAAGGGCCTGCCTGAGTGAAGCCATCACAGAGGCAAGAACTTTGAGAGGAAGAGAGAGATGGTACCCTGACGACATCCTTTCAACGCTTAGATCCAGCTGTTCCTGAAGCCAGCCAATATACTCCCAGACTTTTTATTTATGTGTACCCATACATTTCCTTTCTTTTGCCTAGGGCACTTTGGGCTTTTGTCACTTGCAACTACAAGATCCCTGACTACTAGTGTTCAACGTAGCTGAGTCTTCTTCCTGAAGCTCACCGTTGGTTCAGGTAATAGACAGTAACAGGTTATTTTGCAGGATGGAGATGCCCCTTCCCTTACCCGACTTGAGGATGAATGGACAGTGGGCAACTCCTCTCAGGCCGAGATGACTACGACTGATGGTGCCTCAAAAACCAAAAACGAAACCAAAACCAAAAAACAAAACAAAAAAGCCAAAACGTCCAAACCACCACTGCTGCCACTGCTCCTCTGCCGTTACTCAGACAGCAGGCGAGTGACAGCAAGCGTTTCTGTTGTGACTGTTACCACTGGTTAAACTCAGGGCGGTGTCAGGCCCTGCGGAAGGTGTCATATGCACCACATCATGTCGTCCTCATGACAACCCCACGATGCAAGCGTTCCTCGCTGTCTACACAGACGGAACGGGGGCTCAGGAGAGTCTCTGCTCTAACATCTCCATGGCCGATCAGCGGTGTGGCTCTGGAACAGCCGGTTATTTAATCTCTCCGTGCTGCAGCACTGTTACCAGATGGGGATAGGGACGCCGATTTCATAGGGTTATCAGGAGGATAAAATTTAACGAGATAACAATGAAATGCTGACTGGCTGTTATTATTTGACTTTACTTCTTGAACCATGAAATTGGAGCTGTGCTATCCGGGAAGCCCTCCCTGAACACCACCCTCCATCCACCAAGCAGGGCTGAAGCCCCCTGCTTCTGTGGCAGATGTCACCTGTGGCACTCTCTATTCAGGTGTCTGTGAGCGCCTGCCGGGCGTGGTCTGGTCCTGCTCTCTGCTGGCCCTGTCCTGGAGCCCAGGGCCTTGCCCACAGCTGGTGGGCGCTTCCTACCTATTGGGGCATGAAAATGAAGGCAAGAATCATCTCAAAATAGGACGGTTCAGGTCTCCGTTCCACTCTATGCCGAGGGTGCTGTTCTCGCTTCCTCTTTTACATGTAGTCGAATGTATTTCCCCCTCCCACGCTTAATATGCATCACATAAATTAAAACACCCTAATATAAAAAATCAACGGAACTAAAAATTGCACCGACCACGTACCAACTGCATACAGCCTGCCAAGCCCTGGGACCAGCCAGTTACCTATCTAGGCCGGTGGTTTACAAACGTGGTCCAGGGAGCAACAAGGGCAGCGTCCTGGGACACCTGTCAGGAACGCACGTTCTCAGGGACTCTGCGGGGGCCGGGTGGTGGCGATGGGCGCTCGCCGGTGGGGACGGCTGGCTGAGGGGGCGGCAGCTGCCAGGGGTGGGAGGCGGCGGGACGGGCGAGGGCGGTGGGGTTGCGGGGTGGCGGCGGGAAGGGTGGGGTGCGGCGCGGGCCTCGCGGGCGCGCGCTCCCGAGGCTGCACTCACCGAGGAGGCGCAGCTGGCCCGCGGCGCCGCAGCGCACGGCGAAGAAGGCCCAGAGCGCCTGCGTGGTGTCGACGCACAGCAGGCGGCCGCGCGGGCGCCCGTTGACGGCCAGGAGCACGTCGCCGCCGGGCCGCAGCGTGAAGCTGAGCGCGTCGCCGCCGCTCCGCACGGGCCCCGCGCGCGCCACCACCCAGTACTCCTTGCGGTCGAGCAGCGCGTCGGGGTCGGCGGGCAGCTCGGTCGGCCGCAGCCCGCCCGGGTCGCACGACGTGATGCCGAAGGCCAGCGCGCCGGGCGCCGCCAGCCCCGGACGGCCCACCTCCACGAAGAGGCTCTCGCCGGGCCGCAGCGGGCGCTCGGAGAAGACGAGCGTGCGGCCGCCGTCGGGCCGCGGCGCGCAGGCCACCTTGCGGTCGGCGGACAGGCTCACGTCGGGCCCGCGCGTCGCGTGGAAGCGCAGGTCGGCCTCGAGCAGCACCGGCGACGACGCGGGCCGCGGGCGGTCGCGGGGCCCGCACGGGATGGCGGCGGCCGCGGCGTCGGCGGGCGGCGGGCCTGGAGCGCGGCCCAGCGCCAGGTGGCCCAGCTTGGCCACCACCTGGTTGTTCTCGAGCTCGTTGTTGTCGAAGTTGGCCGCGTCGTGGCTGCTGGGCGGCAGGCAGGCGCTGAAGCGGGCCTGGCTGAGGCGCGTGGGCGGCAGCGTGTCGGCAAAGGTGCTCTCTGCGCGGGACAGAGGGGGACCGCGTGAATGCTGGGCCGTGGCCCGCGGCCGCCTCCACCCTCATGCCGCCCTGAACTCGTTTTTTGTTCATTTGCATTTTTGTTTAAGGAGCCACAGGTGCACAGCATTGGGTTAAGCACAATCCATGGCTCACCTGACCTGCTCTTACCTTTGGGATGGGCAGAGGGGCTCTTCCTCCTTCCTCTCTCCCTCCTGCCCTTCTTTTTCCTTGTCTTCGTCCTTCTCTTCTTCCACCCCTCCTCCCTTTTCCCTCCACCTTTTCTACCTTCTTTTTCTTTCCCCCTTTTCTCTCCCCCTCTTTCCTTCCTTTTTTCTCCCTCCTACATTCCCTTTTCCTGCTTCCTTTTTTCTCTCCCTCCTGTCCTCCCTCCTCCCCTCCCTTACAGGTTTTCATACTTTCGAACATTCAAAGGGCATCTGAAAATCCTTTATTGTCTCCCCAACTAGAACATAAGTTCCAATAGATAGAGCAACCTGTATTTGTGGCCTTGTCATGTGACAGGTACTTATAAGCTCCTTTCACATGTTATCTCATTTAATCCTCACAACCACCCTGTGACCTATGTACTGTTAGTAGCCATTGAGCTAAGAAAGAGCTGAGGCACGGAGAGGCTGGGGAACATGACCAAGGGGCACACTGCTACTAAGAGGCAAAGCCACAGCTTGAACCAGGCTGTCTGGCTCCAGAGTCTGGGCTCTTCAACACCTGCTGCCTCTGAAAGAAGGGAGGACCTGGGCCTGTCCTCACTGCCGTGTCCACAGCACAGAGAACAGCGCCTGGCCCTGGGCAGGTCTCTAAGCATTGAAGAAATAAGGTCTTTACAAGAGATCCACTCATTCTATAACAACAGAAAAGGAAGGGAAAGTTCTTAAAAAATCAATTAAGAAAACATTTTTGAGTCATTTTTAGTGCTGTGAAAAGATGTTCTTGATACTATATGTTATAGTTGCATAACAAAGCAAAATAAAGATAATGTTTATCCAGGTAGTAGAGAATGTCATACTTTGGTAGATTACTTGTTTATTTTCTGTCTCCCTAGCTAGAATATGAGTCCCTGGAAGGCAGGGTCTATGCCAGTTTGCCCACCACCGTGTTCTCAGGGCTTACCAGAGTGCTTGACAAACAGCCTTCATTATTAATAGTTTATTGGATGAATAAATGAATGAATGAGGTCTCTAGAAGAGACTGCTACACTGAATAACAAATCAGGGAAAGAAACAGTCATTAAAATATTTTGAAGATTTTTTTTTTACTGATAAAAATGTTCTTGTTAACCCATAATAAGTTAACAAGATAGTGTTTCTCAAACTTTTTAAACAGACCCCTCTCTAGCCAAGATATTGTTAAATGTTATCATTCTGTAGTTTGTATCACACACACAAATTTCTTCCTCTTTAGTTTTCCAACTGTAAAATGAAATCATAATAATGTGCTTTTTCAAACTGTATGCCCCAGGCCCTGTGAGAGTCTGATATGTGACTCCCACCCCAGACACATTTCACTTCAACCGGATTCCTAGCTTCTCTTGGGAAATCAGGTCTGCTAACACGGCCTGAATTCTAGCATGGCAACAGTGGGCTAAAGCTTGCCCTCTTACTGAAGGGGTTTGATCTCTCCTTCTCTATGGCCCCGAGGTGGCCCTCTTCACCGGCTCAGCTACTTGGTGGGGCTCTGTGGGCATCTGAGTGTGTGTACTTTGCTTTAGAGGATGCTTCCCCACAGCTTGAGGAAAGAACTGCATTTTCAGTTTGGTTCTTTTAAAAAGTGTATGTGTGTGTGCTTATGTGTCTATATCTGTCTGTATCGTTTTATTTATGTGCATAGGAAATCAAGTGCTGGGGAGAAATACAAGTAAATGTTAATGGTAATTAACCCTCTCAGGGGTGAGACTATAAAGGACTTCAGATTTTTCTGTGTTACCCAATTTTCCTATAGTAAACATGTATCAAATTTTTACAAATTTTTATCAGAAAAACATCAATAAATATTTTTAAAAATCAAGTTTTTAATTAATATTTAACAATATGGGAAAATGTCCTTGATAAAACATTAAATAAACAAAAGAGGATACAGAACTGAACAAATGGTTTGATTCTACTTTTGTTGGAAAGGTACTCATAGGATGCATAGGAAAAATATAGGAAGGAAATACATAAAAAATTTGGGAGCGGCTATTTCTGGGTGGAAATTTGCTTCTTTATTGTTTTCTGGTTTACTCATTTTTCTCTAACAAACATACACTGATTTTGTAATCATAAAAAAAAGGATGTACAAAGGTAGAATAAAACAAGCACTATTTTAAAAAGGCATTTTAGACAAGTGGATGTTTCTGAGAGTCTCTTGGTATAATGAATGCACTTTTCCCAGCGCTCCCTGCCACACCCACAGTCGCCCTGCCAGGCTAAATTTAAAGGCGTTGGCCTCGGTTTGCCCTGGGCCTCTGCTAGCTCTGGGCCCTGCTCTTGCCAACATACTCTGCCTCTGCCCCCAACCCCAATGCTTCTCCTCCTTGCCCCGGTGGCTCACACAGGAACCTGTCCTTCAGGGCAGCATCTTCATTAAGAGCATGGCCTTTGGAGTGGGCACACTTGGGTTCTAGTCTTGGTTTTGGCCCTTCCTGGCCATATGACCTTACGTAAGTCATTTCACCTCTTGAAGCCTCAGCTTCGCATAGAATGTTCCCCCACCACCGCATTATGGAGGTTAAATTACTTTTATAAAGAGTGTAACAGAGCATGGCATTAAGTGCTCAAAACATTAATTATGATCATCATTCCTTTAGCATTTATTCAACAAAATGTATAGCACACTCGCTGTGTGCCAAGTGCTGCTGGGCACTGGGGGAACAGAGGGGAGCACACACGTCTGGGTCCTGTGTTCACGGAGCTCCCGTTCCAGTGGGAGAGACAGACTCCAGTGAAGCCATCTTACAGCGAGCTGGCGAGTGCCCCAGGAGCCACTGTGCACAGGTAAGTGGGGGACTCAGAGGTAAAGCGAATCAGCCGAGGATGACAGAGCTGAGCTTCTCTGAGAGTGTACAAAAGGGGACTTGGTCAGAGTGAGGCCTGAGAGTGAGCCAGAAAAGGCCTCTCTGGTGGTGGCGAAGGGGCCGAGGCCTGGGTGGCCAGCGAGGGTGGAGCGTGAGCATTCCAGGCACAGAGGACAGCATGTGTGAAGGCTCCCAGGTGCTGGAAGCTTGGTGTGTGTGCAAGGCTGGGTCACAGTGAGTGTGACATTGTGCCTGGTACCTGGCACATGGCAGCCCCTCAGAGAAGGCTACATCTCTTCACTTTATCTCTATGCAAGGAGCTTTGTGCCCATTGGGCATAGGGCCTGACAAGATGGCACAGTGCTGGCCTAGGCCGGACACTCCAGAATCCACTGCTCAAGGGGCACTTGTTCCATGGAAAACCAGCCAGCTATAGGCAGAAATCCAGTGGCATCAAGAGGCCACCAAGGGAGCGTACTGAGACTGCCCAGCTTCTACCCGGGGCTCGTCTCCAAGCCCACTCTCTGGACCTGATGAAAGTGTACGCAACCATGTTGTTGACCACCTGCCACATGCAACTACATACACTGATTATTCCCTTCCATCCTCACCACTATCCTCGGTGGCTCTGTAAAATGGGCACATTTCATAGTGAGAGAACACTGAGGCTGTGAGAGGTGGAGTGAGTTACTCAAAGGTCACATAGCCTAGGAGTGACAGAAATGGGATTCCAACCCAGACTGTTCCAGAGCCAGGCCCTTCGACACTTGGAATACTGCCTCCAAATTCGGCTGTTCTTGTTCAGCTCCTAGAGCTGCCCAGCACGTGGGCTCAGCCTCAGCCCTGCAGCCTCCTGGGAGTTTCAGCCTCCATGGGCCTGACGTGGCTCCCCTCCCCCCACACTCACTGAACACTATCACACAGCCACAGTCCCTAGGCCAGGCCGGGGGAAGCTGGGACAGACTTCCCGCCTCCTCCCCTGGGCCACCTCCTGGGTCTGGCTCGGCCTGGGAGGGAGCTGGGTTCTTCCCTTTCTTCCCCTCCCCTTTCTCTCTTAGGTCAAGTATGTCGGGGCTGGAAGGAAAGCAGAATTTATGTCCCAAGAGAAACCATCTTTGTGTGAAGATGAAAATGAAGGCAGGGAGAGCTGGAGACAGAGGGACCTACCCACCAGTCACTTCCCTGTCTCTGAAGGACGGATTTGGGCCACGTACTGGTGGCAGAAATGACAAGACACACTGACAGAACGGATACAGGGCAAGGAAAAGAGATTCAAGAATGATTCCTGGTTTCTGGCCTGACCAACCAAGTGGGTGGTGCCACTTAATGCCAGTGGGACCGGCTGGGGACCAGGAGGTGGGGGGCTCAAAGTTCTGTCTGAGTGTGTCAGTGCAGGGTGGCTCTCAGAGCCAGGAGGGACTTGATGGGGAGATGGATTTGGGAGCCAGTGGCTTAGAGGTGGGACTCAGAGCCCAGTGACAGGCTCGGAGCATCTGGGGAAAGAGTAAAGATGAACAGCCTTGCTTTATGACAATTTGTTGAACTCTACAGTTGTCTTAGACATTTTCCTATCTGCATGTTGTATTACTCAGTTTAAGACAGTGAAAAGGAGAGTGAGCTGAGGGCGGAACCTGGGGCTCTCACATATGCAGGCCAGGCCAGGGAGGAGCGGCCAGGGAGGCGGGAGGAAGGTGGGAGCTGGGCAGGCTCAGGAGCCATGAGAAGCAGCAGCATCCCAGCAGTGGGCAGGGGTCACCTGGGCTGAAAGTGAGAGGCTGCGTAGATGGGGGCTCGGGGTCTCACAGGCTGAAGGTCAGTGCCGGGCGAGACCCAGCCTCAGGGGATGAGCCTCGGGGGGAAAGGAGAGGGGTCTGTTGCAGACAGCGCTTGAGTAAGACCTGCTCTGAGGGAGGGCAGAGAGACGGGACTGTGGCCAGGGCTGGTCAAGGGCGTTCCTAAAAGACAGATGCCACGGGAGCGCTTTTATG